CCCAGCCACCGAGATCACCTCACAAACACTCATACATTTCCATCACATTCAGTAAATCAATTAAAAAGAACCTCAAAGACAATATCGAAAGCGTTCACAGAAGTGCATAAGAGAATACGGAGACTAAAAATATGACTAGAAAGGAGAAAGCACTGATCGCACACGGATAAGAAATCAGTTAAAAATACATCTACTAAAGTTTCTAAAAAAATTAACATTAAATTGTACACAAAGAACTTTAGACCTCCGAAAATTACGCAAACTAATAAAATACGAAAGTTCAGAAAACTGAAACGTAGCGAAAGAACATCGAACACAAATGATTGGGAATGGTCGCTGAAAATAAAGCTTTGCTGGAGGTCGATGCAAGTGTTAGTAGAATGTGTGTTATTGCCAGCAACAAAGTTCAAAAAGATAAATTACTACCAGAACCGAACCGAGAAAATATGTTTGATGAAAAAAACACATAAATTTGAATGCTGGCATCTCTCGACAGAAATATGACAGCAATCAGAATCCCCCAAAAAACAGCGAAGGATTCGTAATAGTGACTGTACAAGTATGCAACGCACTGTAATTTCTACGTAAAGAAAGTGGAGTCAGTAAGAACATTGCTGAAATTGAAAAAAACTACACAAATGAAGCAGAACTCAGTAACCTAGGGTTCTGGCAACACACTTTTTCTTCAATTCTAACCCAGCAGTACCACTAAATTTTCACCCATACCTCTCCACCGTTTAATCAGTCCCTTCACTGTAAACAACGATAGCTGCGTTAGCAAGTTCCACGATACAGCGATCCAGCCAGGTAACCGAATTTGGAATGATACCACTGCCTTCCAGGAAACCGAGATGACCGCCGTGTTTTGTGAGTATGAATCCGAAATGTTCATTTGTTGCAGCAAGCTCACGAACTGGCTGCCATAGGCAAGGTGGCACAAGCGGATCATCCAGTGCATTCATGAATATCTGCAGTAGTGATACAGTTATAAGGAAACTTGAACGATTCGCTAACCAAGCCTTGCAGTAAGCCGTTGTTTTCGTAGATATATCAGGGAAAATCGATTATGCAGTATATACCCTTATAAATTCATTATTATAAAACGCATTTCTCTGGCTCATGCAGTTTTCCTACCTGCTAATTTAGGGGTGCTTCACTCCTCTGCTGTTTAAATATGATAAACTTTGGTTTCATAATTAAACACGGCAGTTAAAAAATCGTTTTTTCGAAAAACAAAACTATTGTCTTATATCTTTGTAATATGAAACATAAGCGAAATCCACATAATATCAACAACTGGCTCACAACGTCTGGGTTTGCACATGCTGCTATGACTACATATCACAGTTGGCAAGGAAAACAGCA